TACGCGGCACACACGTACACATCTGTTGATAGGTGATAAACTTGGACGTGTCGGAGGCCTGAGATCAGGGGAAGGGTGAGTAAAATAAAAAGAGAGAGTGGCGAAACTCACGGTACACGTCGACTTCACAGATGGTTGTTGTTGCCTGGACTTCAGCATTGGGAGGCAATACATACTCTCCTGAATACCCATCCTCTCCAAGTTGAAGCATCCACCCCATGTAAGCCTCTATCAGTGCTGGGAGCTGGATATTAAATGCGTCGACGCGTCGTTGTGTTCGATCCCTACGTGTACGGTAGTCACGAGTGCGGGGTCGTCTAGCATGGACTCAGAATGTGTATGATAGTACAGAAATGGTGGTTTTACCTATTTGGTGGGCCCAGTAATTCATCTGCAATATCCACAAGTGCGGTGAATTCCCCCCCTGCATGGCTAATGTCTATTGTTTCCGCTCCCGCAAGAATCGCGTCGACATCCATTTCCCAGGCATCATGCTCAATGTTGCTGTCATCAACGCTTCTACTGCCGCTGTCGTTGGTGGTGTTTGTACGGATTGCCTCCAACTCATCTCTTTCCACTGCGGACATAGCATCCTGACGAAGGGTGTGGTCTATGCGATCCTTGGCCTGCCTCTTGTGAATGGCCGTGGCGTTTAGAACCTCTTGTCGTAGGCTGGTGCGACCGCTAAGTGACCGGGAGGTGTATAGGTGGTGGACATGTACGGAGGATGAAGTGCCAGAACGCTTAGTTTTCCTGGACCCAGGGGGTTTACCGAGCGTCATGTAAAGGGTGCTTTGAGGGTGCTTTGAGGGCGCTGGGTGCTTGTTGTCATGTCACGTGCAATCAGTTAGAGATTAGTAGAGGCAGACAACCTCCCCTCCCTCTCTCGTTTAGCCCTTTAAGTACTTGTATATATAGCAAGTGCATTAGGGGTACATATAACAATAAATTTGTGAAAGAAAATATTGTGCCCGTAGACCTCAACATTGCAAATGTGTACGTAGATCTGTAATGGCCATATACTTGTATATGATGTCTTTCATTAGTGCTCCTTCAATAGAATACATTGACTATTCTGGCCTTCCCTCATGTATGTTTCTTGTATGTATGATGTCAGCCATCATGCTGCACCACTTAACAAGTCCAGGCGTGCACTATCTGACTTGATATCAGACATTTTGTATCGTAGATGGACTTGTCAATATGAAGCTCATCACCGGGCCACAACTCCCAGCCAATCAGAGCAGCGGAATCTTCCTCTCACGTAGATCAAAAATTCAAGGGTTCCCCCTTAATGACTCTAATTGAAAGCAGGGTATATTTTTTTACGAGGGGAGGCCTACAAATGTAAAGGCTACTGGTACTAGCTACGGAATATCAACATGAAAACTAGAGAAATGTCAGCAGGTGGGCAAAGGTTACAGTTAGGTTACATAGCGAATGACGAGAAGTTCCATGTAACCGTCAACAAATATTTGGTTTGCGTGCTCACGGGCGCTGGTTCTTAAAAACGACGGGTTTTCATACTGGCCAAAGGCATGTTCTCCCGCTTCACTGTGATATGAGAATTTCAGCAGGGAAATGGGATGGTAATCATAGAAACTAACCGTCCTTGGTAAACCCCAGGAGCCGTGCCGGTGAACACAACCCAGAAATCCTCTTGGTCGGCTCGGAATGATTCTTCACGTGCAATAGCGACGGCTGCAGCGTTGCGGCTTTGCGTTGATGTTGGAGTCCTTGGAGTGGAGGGTGATGGAGTTGGCCGGACAGAGTTGAGATGGTTTGCAGCGCTAGCGTAGGTATGGGAAGATGTCGATCCAAGCGGGGTATGAGCACTGCGTCCCCTATGTGGGGTAAGAGGAGTTTGCGGNGTGAGAGGGGACGCGTTGCGGTTGTTGTATACATGAACAC